GTATTGTCATTAATCACCGAAACCCAAATAGGGGCCTAAATGCTTTCAAGGACCTTTCCCTCTCCGTCTCTCATGATCAACATAGCAGATGAAAGTAGAAGAACAAATAGACATAAGATAGGAATATTATTCTTTATTTCTATGATTATTGATGATTACAACATAGAGCTCCCACGTATATATATAGTTCTGCCAAGGTCTAAGAATTTGATAAGAATCCACATATAAAGCGACTAGGATTAAGATTTTTTCTTTTCCTTTCCTTTTAATAGAGTCTGTATGTTTTACAACACTTTATAGGTTCGGTGACGATGGCGAAGGAAGCTACGTGGACATTTGGGGGCATCTTTTGGGTTGGGCTGACATGCGTACACAGGGATCTCATGGCCTGGACCCGGGCACCACCAATGAAGCCAAACACTTTTAATTGTTCTAGTATAAATGAAATAATCTACATAGACTAGTAAATGTTGATACTACTATTTACACAATGTAAACTATTACTACTTGTGGTTTGTATAGAAACTTTTTACTTTTATCATGACTCACCTTTATTTCCTCTCCCTCTTTTTTTTTAGCATGGACCTCCTCTCTCTCTAAGCATACATAGTTTCTATAAACCACTGTGACAAATATAAAACATCTATTTTTTTATTCAATCCTACGTATATCCCTTGCGGCTACAGGTAACAGCGTAGCGGTGGGGAAGGCCTCATTCAGGAGCCGTGCCGCCAACGGAGTACGTAAAAGTTCCACGTACGACGACAGGTTAGGTTCAGTTAGGAGTTGAGGAATCGAGGCTGGGCGGCTGGCGATAACTCCTATGCTGATTGCTGAAACGAAACGAGGTGACAGGCTGAAAAGGCCGCGAGAACCGCGACGTCAGAGCAGCACGCCAAATTCGTGTGCTCAGATCTGAATGAATGAAATTAAGCCTTGTTTAGTTCTAGGAATTTGGAATTTGGGGTTACTGTAGCACCTTTGTTTTTATTTGGCAATTAATGTCAAAACATGGATTAATTATGCTCAAAACGTTCGTCTCGCAATTTCCCACCAAACTGTGCAATTAGTTTTTTTTTCGTCTACATTTAATGCTCTATGCATAGGCCGCAAACATTCGATGTGACAGGTACTATAGCACTTTTTTTATTTTGGACTTCAACTAAACACGCGCTAAAAACGGAGGCTTGAGGTGAGCAGCCACAGCCAGGAAAGAGGCAACTAATCTAACCCAAACGGACGGCGACTAGAAAAGATTTTTCATGACGCAAGCCGTGTAGGAGTAGCCGCCCCTGTCCACATCCACATCCTCCACCTCTGAACACTGGCTTAGCACTTAGCAGCAGCCAGCAGCTGTAATTGCGGCCTCTGAACGCGGGCATTCGCCAGTTGTGGCAATCGCATCTTCATAAGGCTTCCGGCAATGGTAATTTGATCCCTAATGAGTAGCCGAATGGATCTGCACTTGCATCAACTTCTAGTGTTAGGGCCCATTTTGATACCAAGGGTTAATTGCTAGGTAGCTAAAAATTAATCCTGGTCCATCAAACAAAACGGCTAATAAAGTGATCTAACTTTTTAGCTAAGCCTTCAGCTAGTTATTATTCAATTAACTAGCCAACCCAGCTAATTAGAATTAATTTTTAGCCCCAACTAGTAACTAACCCTAGCTGATCCAAAGGAGAGCTAATAGGTGGTCTAATGTTTTAGCTAATCCTTCAACTAATTGATAGCCAATTAGCTAGCCAACCCAACTAATTGGAGCTAATTTTTTAGCTCCAAGTAACTAACCCTAGCTGATCCAAACACGCTCTTTAGAGTTCACTCTTCAGTGCACAGATCAGATGCGTGCCTCTTGCTTGCTGTAAGCGTCAACAAGTCCCCGTATCAAGCACCATGGGTTTGAGGTGGCAAATCTAGGTGCACTGCAGCTGACAGATGGACCCAACAAATGGTCGTTGAACTCGGGGCCACACATCACCACTACGGGCTACAGGCATCCCAGTACCTTGGGTCATTGCAAATTCACCTAATCAGGCAATCGTGACAGAGATAGAGTTTTATAACACTGCCCCCATCAGGCAGTAGCAGTAGGTCGGAGAGTTTCAGAGCAGAAATGCAAATTGCTACTCAAAGCTAGCACTGCCCCCGTCAGGCCATCACATGCATGCAAACTTCGCCGCAGAAAAGGAAACCAACAAAAACAAAAAGAAAAGAAATCAGATCACACAGGAACGGCAAGCATGCAACACGCCTGCATCTGCATGCTTACCAGGCAACCTCTGACTGAGTGGCAAGCTTTGGCCCTTAGTTCCTCCGCCAAAACTTTGCAATCTATCACGAATGTTTAACACATACATAGAGTATTAAATATAGACTAAAATAATAACCAATTGTACAAATTACGACTACTTAGTCCATGATTTAACAATAAAGTGCTATCGTAACACATGTGCTAATGACGATTAATTAGGCTTAATAAATTCGTCTCGTGGTTTATTGATGGAATTCTATAATTTGTTTTTTTATTAGTATCCGAACACACCATACGACACCACATGTAACATCCAATGTGACACCCCAATACTTTACATCTAAACACCACCTTAGTTTTTTTCCCCTCTATGCAATCAGATCCAACGTACTCGAACCCCAAAGTGGCAAACTTCTTCAGAAGAAAGAAGGGTTTCAAAAAAGGAACAGGTTGCCGTATGTTTCCAGGGAAGGCAACCAGGTGAGCCGGAGCCGATCGTCACAAACTTCCACACCCAGCAACTCGGAGGTTTCTTTTCCGAACAAAACTTTTAGGACTGCAAGACAGCAACAAATCAACAATGTAAGTTCAATAGTGATCACCGAACGATAAAAAAGGCATAAAATATGATATAATGTTCTACTTAAGAACGATAATAAAAATGGAAAATCAGGATAAAATGTTCTGCTTATGACTCATATGAATAGTTGTGCTGCGCCGACCCTGTTCGAAAATTAGCTAAGCAAGATAATGATTGATTGAGATGGGTAAACCTGTTATAATTCATCGGTGTAGATAAATACAAGATGCCACAAAGCCACATTTTAAGTGTTAAATCAACCAAAGTGTTACTAAATAATGCTGAACAAAGGTTGCTATCCTAATCACCTAGATAAACAGGTTACTTCAAATAACTGAGATTTCACACAGAATAGATTATGCAGGGAAAATCACAATCAGGTGTCCGGAATTTCTTGGGTTTGCCACTGACATTTGGATGGCAAATACAGAAATGACAACCCGTCACGAGTTCCATCAATCACATTTCAAAGGGGGACAATAAACGAAGTGCACCATAGAAGACAACTGCACAAACACCTAAATTGACAATATGGCACACTCTAATTCTGGCTTCTATTTAGAGTCAGGACTTGCTTGTTGCTTCAGCAGCCTTTTGCTTTCTAGGCATTGATACTATCTCAAAAGACCTCATATCTCAGATGTAAATCTACCTAATTACTGTCGAATTCATTAGTGCATCAAAGGGACTAACAAGCTTATCCAACTTAAGTCTATCATTTGTAAATCAACTGAAACAAAAAAAAAACAATTATAATAGGAGTGTAGGACTAGGGCATTGCGCCTAAGCTTACATTTCACAGTTTTATGTATTATAGGAAACACAGTCCATTAGCATCACAAAGAGGCAGAAACAGAGGAAATAACATCGAACACCAAAGCTTTCCGCCAAAAAGCATCACCAACATCATTTTTAATGAGATATGTTACTGGAAATGATTTAACATATACGCTGTGATGACACAGTAAATTATCAAAGAGAAGTAACTATTCATGGTGTGATAACTTCCATACTGACACAGTTGCTGTATAATAACCTGATGGAGAGAATGGTGCTGTAGACTAATAGCTAGCAATACCAAGGTAGATGTAATCTCAAGAGACGTATGGTATGAATAAGTACCTTTTATTGTTTCTATAAAAACATAGTATTTTTCAATAACATAATGGTCTTCTTTCTTTGTGCAGAAATAATAAGAAAATAGGATAGGATCTACGGAGGGTCTCTCCCTCCCTCTGTATAGACGAAAGGATTTATTGAGGTTAGCTATAAAGATTGTAAAAAAAAGGATAGCTTTCATAAGCCCATATATATAGAAGTGACACAATGATCCTGTTTGCCCTAGCTCGATAAGATAAGTACACAAGTGCTGAAATAAAGATTGTGAAAGCCGCATCAATGGTCAATGCAGCATGGAATTGGTCATGAAGAGTGTGGCATAAAAAAAGTAGGGAGTTATTTGACTAGAACTTAAAGTGCAATTTACTTTAGTCCAAATCTGTAGGCATACAGGCATACAGCCATTGAGATCAAGAAGATATTCTACACAAAATCTTTATCCTTCTTATTGAATAAAATCATGTGCTAAGGGATGAAGCCGGATTCAATTCCTTTATCTAAAAATTGAGTAACAGCATGAATGACTCGAGCAGTAAATGCCTAACATAACTAGATTGAAATCATTAGATTGCTGCCTTGCTTAGTGATCAACACCGCATCTACCCCAGATCTCCTGTCTAAATATCCCATACCTAAAAACTAGCTTTTAGAAGATAGAGGTGCTGCAACAGATCTCCTATCTCATCTCCCACCTATAATTTTTAAGACATCTCCTAAAAACAGCCCTTTCTCGCCTAAAGAATGGAGAGAACTCCCTCTCCCCTGTTCCTAAAGAAATATAGTAGACAATTTAAGGTAATTTGCTGCAGCAGTGCTCACCTATATGCTGAAATGGTTTTAGGGTACTCTCCTACAAAAACTTACTATGTAATATAAGAGATCTGATGCAGTTGCTCTAAAGAGGCTTGTCTTCAGTGTATAACAGATCCCAACTTCAAAGGGTAAAACATATCCGCGACCCCCATCATCAGGAATACAATCTCTCTCTCTAAACCTGAGCCAAGCTCCGGCCAGGGATTGGGCCACATCGCCTCCAATTTCTCGCCGTCAGATCATGATCCAACCGTCCAATTGCAGGCAAATAGCTTGCACTTTTCTAGAGCCTTCTTCCCCAAGGCCCGACGCGACGAAACGCTGACTGCCTGACTCCCGTCCTCGCGTCACCCACGAACAGCCAAGCCTGCCGCACCGCACTGGCTGTACCCAGTTCCCACGGAGAAGCCGATCCGGCGAAAAAAGCACTCCCCGAGCCAACAGCTTCGCGACCAGGATGTCTGGGCTAGGGAGCAGTCCGTAGCCAGGTAGCCCGCTTGGAACTCCGCCGTCGCCGGCGCGCTCGAGCGGCAGAGCAACTGCGACGGATGGCCACACATGCACGGGGCTGGCACATCCACCGTACCTCTCTGGCCCACTACCAGACATACTGCCCCCATGCCTCGACCTACATGGCGGCCTGTGATTCCATGCCAGGAGTCGTAGGCATGACCGCACGATGCAAGGGATCATGCTCGCTGCTTGTTCGACAAAATGCCAAGCACGCCATGGGGAGTCCCGCCGGCCTGCTGTGCGTCGCAGTGTCTACTATCTCGCGGCTTGGGGCAAGCCACGGCGCAACTGTGGAAAGTGCCCAACTGCCCGCCGTGCCATTATGCAAATACCACGGCGTGCAGTGTGCATGTTTGCATGCTGTGGCCCTCCTGTACACGCTGCGGATAGCCATGGCGAGCTATGCACTGCACATGCTGTGCTTTGCATAGCTGGCGTATCCCAGCACCGCGATCAGATCGCCAGGTCTCGTGCTTGCCATCACAGATCGCTGAGTCGGAGCCTTAACTCTGTAGCTATTGCCTATTGGGTATGGCACATTTATTTATTTTTCAGCAAAGCCTTTCAGACAAAGTATTCAGAACAACAAAAATAACCCCTAATATAGTAGAACCATCTATAAATATTATGCTTTTAGAACACTTCTGTAGCTGCAACCAATAGATCGTTTCACTGAAAAGGTTAGCTAAAAAATAGCATTTTCCATTTCTTGATTTAATCTGATTAGCTCCCATAATTGTTACTTTTACTGATACCATTTCCGGCTTTACAGAAGCTCAAACTTGCTCCAGCTTATAAATGTAATAAACAAGGCTGTTCATTCACTCAGTTTGATACTTTGATTGGAGGTAAGTTCATTCTGCACCTACATACACATTGATCAACCATTTGCTGTAATTAACAGGTACAAGACACCACATTCCTTGTACTGATGAAACCTACAGAATTGAGTTTATGTTCCTCCAAAGCATAGGAACACAATTGATTGGAAAAGAGTTTAGCAGGATCTTTTCCTATATTTAGAACCTGTTATAAAATGAGATTTATGTATATTTTTCCTTGTACTGATGAAACCTACAGAATTGCTAAGATTTTTCCTTAGATGATATTTTTCATACTGATAACAGACTCTACTATCTTTACTACAACCACCACAACAACTATGTTCACAATGTTTGTAGCCCTGTTGTTTGCCGTGTTTACAATGTTTCTAGCTCCAAAATATATCCCCCTTCTGTTGCCTTGCATGTATATACTGTAACCTACTACACTCACAATGTTCCAAGCCCTGTTGCTATATGAATGGGATTAAGATATAAGAAGAAATGCAAGGCAATGTATGAATTGAGCGTTGATGAGGAATGATAATACTTAACCTTCTCTGAATTGCATGCCATAAAGCAATTTGAGCTAACCCCACCGCCTCTTCAATTGTGCAGCAAGAGGTAAGAAGGCTCGTTTTTATATGATTGAGCAAACGTGAAGCTGAGCCCTCTTAGTGCTATTTCCATATTGACAGCCTATGTTACACGGATACGTCACTGGGAGCACGTATCGCGTATCCGATACGTATCGGATAACGGATACGTGTCCGATACTCCTCCGATACGTATCCTCGGAGTATCCGATTTTTGTTTTTTCACAAACATTGGATACGGCAATCGATACGTATCTGGCTTGTGGATACGACCCAGCCCAATAACAGTCGACTCCCTTATCCCTCTGTCCCCGACGCCCTAGCCTCGGATGCCCACACTTCCGCACGCCCGCGCCTCGCGCCGCATCCCCGCGCAATGACGCCGTATCCCCGCTCGCCGACCGCCGGCCACCTGCGACAAGCCTCTGCTCGCCGGCGACGAGGCCTGCTCGCCCACACAGCGCTGTGCCAAGAGGCGGCCACCTGCTGTGCCCTGACGTCGGGAGAGATATACGAAGGGGAGGAGGGTGAGCGGCGCGGAGGCAGCGGCGTGGTGGGAGCGGCGGAGATGTCTAGGGACCTAGGTACGGGAGAAGTGTCTGGATTGGGAGGGAGGACGGGGGAGACGTGCACTGTCGTTGGGAGGCTGGGAAGAGGATAAGGTCGACAGCAGAGTGGGGCAACCAGGACACTTGTGATTTGCGAATTTGATGTCCTGTTCGGTTGTTCCTGTGGGCTGTGGGCCTGTGGCTGTACCTGTGCTCCTTTGTCCTCTTCCTCTCCTTTCTACTTCAGAGTTCACGGTGAAGTACTGAACTGCTACTTGTACTGATTAGTGGTTACTGAACTACTTTCACAATTTTAATATGTGCCATTATTTATTTATTTAAAAAAATAGTAAAACGTATCCGCGTATCGGGTTTTTTAGGAAATTGCCGTATCTGCGTATCCGTATCCTTCCGATACCGATACGCGTATCCGTATCCGTGCTGCATAGTTGACAGCGTTCTTTTGCTCCACAGCTAAATATTGTATATTTTTCACTTTTTCATATTTGAAACTATTGTCAGGTCCAAAATTTTCTAATGTGGGAAAATGCTTACATTATGAGGTCAGAGCTCAGTATTAGGTACTGCTTTTCCATAGCAACAACATCAATCAAAATAGGAGAAAGATGATTCCCTTTTTTTTCTAAACTTAGACAACAAAGAGTCAAAGACTATTTATTCTAATCTGACATAGAATGGCAATTGGTAGATCGATTACAATACTAATTTACACCTTACATTGGCTTTGCATACTCCATGGATGTCTCCTGGCTGATTGGCCATGAAATGAATTACTGGATCTTTTTGTTTCCATACAGTTGACAAGTCATTAACATGGTTATTTTTCTTAAGAACGTTGTCAACATACAAAGGTAGCTATGCTACAATAGACCTCCAAGTTTCTCTTTTTATTCACTCTGATTCTGTGTTGATCTTCTATGTCAGATGTACTAGCTGTGGTCTTATTTTAAATGCATTGGTCATTACAGAATATGTAGAACCCAGCCACTTTACAATTTTTCATGATAATTGGTTTACAACATATCACCCCTCTTATAAAATACTACTAATCTCTGTTAAACTCATCCATCTAGCATATATATGCAGTTCTTTACATGTGCACTAGCTTTCAAGCTGACATTAAAGTTGCTCTACGAACTTTTGCTATCAGGTTGAAATAATTGGAGAAAGCAATCTAGGCAGCTATGGGTTCTCTAGATTAATCTAACCCTGTCCTCTATTCAAGGTTTAAGTAGGATAGAGTCTGCAAATTGCAGAGCAAGAGATGAGAGTGCTTATTTTGCTTCATAGTCAACATTTCTTTCGGCCATTCTCAGTGATCCCTGGCTGGCCCGCTCCAAGAAGGGTGCGGCATTTTAGAATCATTTAACAAATTCGGAGGCTGTAATTAATAACAATACATTCCAATTCCAATACCTTGATTCCCTTGAATTATTTTAACGCTACACATACCACTGAACAATCAAGTAAAAAATGTATTCAGAATAAATACCTCCACTTTTGAATAGCATGTTCCTATTATCATTTAACTTTTATACAATTCTGAATCTGCCTAAAGTTACCAGTCTACCATTAACATCGCCAGATGCATAATCAATTATTTCTTTTGGTACTTTTGTTGAGATGACAATATTATAATCTTTTATTCAGAAGATCAAACATCCTAGCAGATTTGAGGACCACAGGGACATGAACAAATCTTTCCATCTACTTTATCCCCTGATCCCATAGCAAGACAACATCTAAGCCATGAGCAAATTTCCCCTTCTACTTTACATCCTTGAACCAATATCTACTATCAATACGACGTTACCTCCATATAAAGCAGCAAATCTAACAAACAAAAAGAACAATTAACATATCCAGGGTGAGCATTACCTTTGTTATCAACTCGAAAATGCCATGCTCCTCTCTTAAGAAGGACCCAAAGGCTGCGTCTGAGGGGTCTCTGGAACAATGTCAGAAATGAACTTGATCAGAGAGCAGAGCCCGCCCAGGAAGTTGTGGTCAATCACCCCATCACCCTCGGCCACATGGGCAAAGTCCACCAGCTTCACCCTCACCCCACCCGCACCTCCGCTTGCTGCAACTGCACTAGCATCATAGCCCAGAAGAATCGACGCCGAGTAGAAGTGGAACAGAGTCTGCTCCTCGAACCACGCCTTGAGCTCGCGCAGCTGTGACAAGACTCCTCCTTTGCCGCCGTACACCGCCGCGGCGAGCGCGCAGTCCATCCCCTCGTCGGCAACGGATGACACGTAGCGCCGGAGCACGCGGCGGACGCCGGCGGTGTCCAGGGCCTTCACCTCCGGGCGCTCCGTCCGCCACACGGCGCCCTCGGGGTCGACGACCCGGACGCCGGTGACGCGGAATCCGAGCAGAACGCTCGTGGTCCCGCGGTCCATGGCGACGCACTTGGCCACGTAGGGCTCCGGCGAGCTCGGCGGCCACGTGATGGCGCCGATCTTGATGTCGGCGACGCAGGGCGCCTCAAGCCCCGCGAGGAGGTCGTCGAGGACGAGGTGCGGATGCGGCTCCCCGGGCCGCGACTCGGTGGGGAGGAGGCGCGTGCCGTGGAACCGCGGGAAGAAGGTGTCCCGGATGCGGGCCGGGACGGCGGAGTGGGTGGAGAACGCCTCGTAGAAGGCGAGCTCGTGCTCCCCGCGGTCCCCGGCCTGGAGCGGCTTGTAGAAGAGGCCAGAGCCGTCGATGAGCGGACCCAGCTTGTTGGCGGAGGCGCGGTGGCCGCCGACTTGGTTTTCCGGCGGGCGGAGGTCGGACATGGTGAGGGCGAGAGGGGGCGACAATTGGCGATGGTGGAAGCGGTGGTTTCGGCCTGCTGCGCCGCGGTACTTAAGAAAGAGATTTGGGAATCTCGAGATCATTGATGGCCTCTGTTGTTTCCCCTCTTCGGTGGTTGGTTGTATCTGCAACCTGCACGCCTGTAGGCACAGGACCCCTTTGGTAGGGATTCTAACGTAGCTCCCTGAGCAATTTTACTGTTAGAAGATAGGATCATTAAGAGCACAGGTCTAGCCGGTAGTATTCTTCTATTCAGGATAAAAGATGTGTATCTAGAGAGACAGAGAAGGAAGGGAGAGAGGTAAGATGTCACTGGGCATCAGAGGATTTGGCGGTGGAGCTGGAGCCGTCCATGGTAATGTCGGTGATGCTGTGAAGTTCGAAGTGGTGAAGGCGGTGGTGCGGAGGCGGTGCTATCTCGTCGACGTCGAGGCAGTGGGTCTTCCCGTCGCTGGCAGCGCCGCTTCCTCTAGATCGGGTTAGGGTTTCTCTGTAGACGGGTTGCGGCGGCTCATGTCAACCTCGTACCTTGTGCCCCGGCCCCCACCTCCCTTTTATGGTGTTGTGCGACGGGAGGCCCATGGAGCGGTTGGGCGTCCCCGATCAGGGCGCGGATCCAAGGGCCCAATTGGTGGAGATCAAAGTAACATTCTCCCCCTTGATCTCATCTTATTCCTTAAACTTAACTTACTTACTTTATCTTGTTCCCATTCTATCACGGATCAGTGCATAGAGCGTGCCTCATCATCACGGTCTGTTGCCATTAGATTAAATAGCTACAACGCACCTCTCTATTTTGAAACAGATACTTAACTAGGCCCTTAGTATCCAGAAATCATAGGCTTTCCCATAAATCCATGCTGATTGTGTGTTCTCTGAACGCACTGGGTGGTTAGCGGATCTGCAAGTACTTACTCTATACTTATGTGCTCAATGTTTTCAGAATGATTCTGAATTTTCTCCTTTACAACATATAACTTAGTGTCAATGTATCTGGCAGCACACTTGACCTGTTGTCTTATGAATTAATTTACTTTAAATGGTTATTGCTGTTGTCTACCATTGTTGAATCCGAGTACAAATTTCCTTAACCTCCTTTTGCCTGTTTCTTAAGCCTCATGTCAAGCTATACTATGGTATGCATCACTAATGACACCACAACTGTTTCTTTGGAGTTTTTCCACAATAATACTCCAACTGCGAGTGTTAGCAACTAATGTGGATTTCACTACACATCTCGCCATGACTTAACATTTATACTATCAACTATTTAAGAGTACTTATTCTTTCTTACTCAGCATAAGGCCTATGATACTTTGCAAAATTGCAAGACATTCTCAACTTCATTCCAGTGATCTATATCTAGACTGGACTTTTGCTAAAATATCCTGGATACGTAAACCACGTCAGGGTAAGTTCTTACTTGTACTTGTAGACACATCAAGCTTTCAACAGCTGAAGCATATGGAACCATATTCATTTGATCGATCTCATATCGGTTTCTAGAACACTGAAAGTTCTCTTATCTATTACCCTTGACTATAGGAGCAGGTGTAGGTTTACTCACATGCATACTTTACTTCTTTAGAATCTTTTCTAAGTATGCCTTTGTGATAGTCCTAATACCTCATTTTTCTATCTCGGTGAATTTTGATTCCTAGAACCAATGATGCTTTACCAAGATCATTCACATTAAAACTTGAGGACAAAACTACATCTTCTCCAATAACAGACTAACATCACTACTAGCGAGTAGAGTGTAATCTATTCACAGGATGTGGAAAATGAATTTTCCATTCTTGAACTTCGCATAAACACTATTGTCCTTCTCATTTTCTTTAAAACCCAAACTTTCTTATTGTTTTCAACTTCAAATACTACTGTCTTGTGACTTGTTTAAACCCATAAATGAATTTCTACATGCGGTATCCCATATGTTCTTTTCTTCCACGACAAAACCTTTTGGGTTGTGCCATATAATCGTTTTCATATAAATCTCCGTTGAGGAATGCCATCTTTACATCCATCTGATGTAACTCAAAATTGTAATGTGCCATTAAACACTATTATGATTCTAAAAGAATCCTTACATAAAACCGGAGAGAAAACTCTCATTTTAATCTATTCATTCTCTTTTACATAAAGCATATTGCCATAAGTCGTGCTTTATATCTTTCTACATTCCCTTTAGAGTCACATTTTGTCTTGTAGACCCATTAACAGCCTACTGTTTTAGCTCCATTAGGAATAACTTTTAAGTCCCAAACATCGTTGGTATTCATCGAATTCATTTCAACTTTATATCTTTCTTGCCATTTAAACGAGTAAACACTCCTCATGACTTCTTCAAATGAGGTGGGATCACCCTGCATTTGAATTTCTTTACTAACATAGACTTCATAATCATCGAAAACCGGGTTTACTAATTCTTTGAGACCTTCTAGGGCCTCAGCTACTACACTTTCATATGGGGCTGTTGTTGCTCTTCATTGCCAAGAGGCAATTGATTCATCAGGCTCCTATATCATAAGATCCTTGTTTACACTATTCATCTTCTTCGAAAAGCCAACAACAGGTGTTGTATAAGTCATACAACATCAACAAGCATGCAGTCCCGCTTCTCTTCAAGTCTTAGATCTCTACATACCTCTACATACCATGCTCCCCCAGATCTTCTCATCTTTTCTAAAGATAGTGTATCTTCAAATACCTTATTTTAGGTTTAATCCGTTACAATATCATATGGTGCTTTAAACACCACCTTAACATCTTTGAGACTGACTATGCTATTTTCTGTCGAAACTTTAAAAGGTCTAGGAATTTAGCTATTTCTCTGCTTAGGGGTATCATTGTTGTGACCGTTGCACTCCTCCGATGGTCATATACATCTTAATTAATCTTTATCTCACTCTTAATGAAGAGTATCTTTCTTAATTAAAAATTTTATCTCACTCTTAATGAAGAGTATTTTTCTTAATTAATCTTAATATTCTCCCCCCTCGAAATATGACATGAACTTTACTGCCATAATTTCGATAACTATTCTAAAAGCCCGTAAACGAGGAGACACTTTTAACCTACTTCATTCACACGATTGTGTCATGTAAACAAAGTTATTTCTTGATCCGTTTGGAAGTACACTTTCCTTAATTCACTTTAAGAACTCAACGAGGTCTTTTCATTAGCAGTGCTTTTGCAAGTCACACTTGCATCTTTTCTTATCTTTTGGTTAGTATTGACCATGACGATGCATTTCTATTATGCCAAGGTCAATACTAGGACAACATAAGAGCTACCCAAACTTCTCTCGTTATGTGGGGGGTACGACCCCGGATACCCATGGCAGACCACATGGGTTGCGTCCCCCAAGGGCGGCCCAGCCCACAAGATGAAGCCTTACGAGGCACGACTTTGCTCGGCGCTCCCGCAAGACACCGAGAAGATATCCTGAAGATACTATGAGATCTGTTAGGATATGTATGATCCCATGATTCCTGTAATCGGTTATTATTTTCCGGTTATCTCTCAGATCTAACCGACCTGTAACCCTGCCCCCTGGACTATATAAGGCGGGGAGACCCCCTCTAAACTCACGCAATATCATACGATAGCCAATACAATACAATAGACCACAAGAGTAGGGTATTATGTCATATTGACGGCCTAAACCTGTCTAACTCTTGTGTCTCTATTGCCTTTTGTTCTTGATTACACGCCTCTCTGCCGATCAATCTACCTTCATGGGATACCCCTCGGAGGACTGCCGACGATATTTTGTCGACAGTTGGCGTGCCAGTGTAGGGGTGTGTGTGTTTCCTTATCGAACAAGATGCCTTTTTCCACAGGCTCTTTGTCTCTCCCACGCATCCCAACCAGATCTTCACGGTTAGATCGATCTTGTGGATCATCAACGCTGATGGAGTCGAGAGAGCTCCTCGAGTTGGTGCAGATCGATTCTGCGCTGATCACCCCCATACCTATGACTGCAGATCCGATCTTAGAACCACCTCCAAGGTCACCTTCATCGACAACACGCCGCCCACTTCCACGCTACCAGAGGAGGCAGATCAACAACGACGATCTGATCGCATCAATCTATCAAGTTGGTCAGAAGCTCGCCGATTGCCTCTCCATCGCCGAATCGGCTTTGGACACTCTCGTTCAGCGTCGACAAATTCCGATCTAGATCTATCGAAGGCTGCTCAGGAAACTCTAGGGGTTACGGCCCTACCCTTTAGGTTCACCAAAGTCACCGCCACCTACCAAGGTGCCTTAAGGGGCAAATTCACTGACCAGGTTGGAGATATCCATCCTCTCACCGACCAGCCTCCTTCGACTGTCAACATGCTGCACCTCGGTCGACGCCCTTAAGCATCCCTCCAAACCATCTTGGAGGAGAATCTGGACTCTAAGTCCTAGGGCTCTACGGAGACCCTCGTCGAAACTACCACTGAGCACCTTCCTCTCCCGCCTTTCTGTGGTGGCGCAATCTTCAACGTCAGCGTCGACAGCGCCCCTCGAAACGGCAAAACCGAGGAGGAACATGCCGCCCGCGAGAACCGAAACATCAACCATGCACAGCGCCGAGCAAACGAGGATGCCCTTGCGATGGCCGAGCAGCAGCTCGACTCGCAAGGAAGGCCACTCCATCACAACCTCGACGATGAGTTTGTCCGCATTGATGGCCACGACATCTACAAGACCCCAAGCGCCAATCTGGCAGTGGCCACCAACAAGCTCGCTCGGCTCCCGTAGACACCGAAGGTCGCCAAGGTCACCGCCATGCTCAAAGCGGCGCACTGTCAGGTCAACGAGATCCACCAGGATCAGAGACCTTCATACTCCACAACCTCAATTCGCCGATCAATCACCACAAGAACCGATCGCCGCCCAAGTCGCTTCACCGACCAGCACTGCGACGATAGGCAACCTCTCTAGGGCAGAGCTAGGGGCAACCGCATTGAACATCACCGCCAACACG